GGGGGGGGAGGGGACATGGGAGGCAGAAGAGGGACACGTGGAGGGAGGGGACATGGGGGACACAGCAGGAGGAGGGGGACACGGGGGGCAGGGGACACAGGGGGCACAGCGGGGGGAGGGGGACACGTGGCGGCAGGGGACATGGGGGCACAGCAGGGGGGGGAAGAGGGACACAGTGGGGGTTTACTCACGCTTCCATTCCAAGCGTTCATTGGATTCCAGACCATTGAGGACTCCACCCTGGGGCTCAGGGGCTGCCCCCCATAAAGTTTCACTCACTCATTCATTCATTCACTCAGAAATGAAGTCGCAGTCTCAAGGGAGAGGGGGCCACCACATCGGTGGTGACGAAGGCCACCAAGCGCTCCGTCCCACACCTGCTCCCCAGCTGTGTGACCCATCCTCAGTTTCCTTTAGCATAAAGAGCAGTGGGGCCAGACAGCCCTCAGCCCCCTTCTAGCCCTACTGTGTGTTCCAGGGTCTGGGGACAGAGGGTTGGGGCATCCGATCACAACACCCTGCCCTACTTCCCACATGGCTCCATCACGCCCATCCACTCTCCCACACCAGGGGATGGACCACCAGGCAGCCCCTGGAAGTGCAGAGGTCAGACCATTCGGTGCAACTTTCTAATTTCACAGACAGGAAACTGAGGCCGGAGAAGGTCATGCCCCCTCTGTTATGGGAAAGTGTGGCTGGGGAAGGCCACGCCCCGCTGTTAAGCAGCAGAGGTGGCCCCTGGCCCGGGGCTCACCTTGGAGGCGCGGTGCGCCATGAAGATGGCAAACAGCAGCAGCAGCAGGGAGGTGGCCACCTTGAGGTCAGACAGGACCACCATGCCCACGTTGACGAAGAACACCAGGCCAGAGACCAGGAGCATGGCGTTGAGCAGGGCTCGCTGCAGGAGGGGCGTCCGCACCTTCAGTTCAGGCAGGAGCTGCTCCAGTCCCTCCAGGGGGGTGTCCTTGAAACTCTTCAGCACCAGGTGACCCTGCTTGGTGCGGGCTGCCACCACTACCCGCTTAAAGTAACGCCTGAGCCCCAAGGGTCCGGTCAGGAATTCCCTCTGACACCCACCTGCCCTCCAAGACTTGGGGGATGGATGAGGTGGGGGGGAGGGGAGGGGAGGGTCTAGCCCTTGCCCCGTGAGAGGCTGGAGGGCCATGGGCAAATCCTGAAAGCTCCCTGGGCCTCGGTTTTTGCATCTGTCAAAGGTTCCTTCTCACTGCCAGAGTCTAGAATGGATTCTGGCTCTGTTATTTACTACCTGGGTGACCTTGGACAAGTGACTTCTCTGGGCCTCAGTCTCCCCCTGGGTAAAATGAGGAGGCTGGACTCGATTTCAGAGGTCCCTTCCAGCTCTGACTAGGCTTGCTGCATGACCTTGGCCAGATCCTCGCCCCTCTCTGGGCCTCAGTTTGCTCTTCTGTAAAACGAGGTTGTTGAACTAGACGCACTCCGGCTTCCCCTCTCCCCTCCTAGCTGCTCTGGCCTTTCAGTGACAACGAGCTGCAGGGCCGCGCTGCTGGGGACCCCCCCACTCACCGCTCGGCAGGAGGGGACTTGGTGAAGAAGCCCCGCTCGGAGCCCACCATGGACTTGCGTGGGAGCCGCCCCACTCGCTGGCCCAGGGCCCAGAACTGTATGTAAGCATAGTGGTCCAGGTTGATGGTCACCTGCGGGCACAAGGCGCAGGGCTGGGTGTGGTGTGGGGCCGGGCAGGCCCAGACCAGCCCCCATCCTCCATAATCTCCACCCTCTTTTCCACCTCTCCAGGCCTCTTCCCTGTCCCTCCTCTGGGATCCGGCTTCCCTGGGCCTGGCGTCTCCCAGACCTCTTCCTGGTCACATCGGACCGTCTCAGGCCTCCCTCTGGGCGGGCACCTGCCACTCAGAGATCTCTCCTCCCAGAACCTGGATGGCTCTGCCCTTCTCCTTCGCTCCCAACCTACACCCCAAGTAGCCTGGGCTGCCTGTCCAGAAAAGCAGCATGGCAGATGCTGCCAAGGAGCCCCAGCTCACACAGCTCTAGGTGTCCCAAGCTGGATTTGAACTCAGCTCTGGACACCACGGTGCCAGCTAGCTGCCCTAGCAGGCCTCTGTCCCAAGCTCTCCTCTCGCTAGCCTCTGGGGCGTCTTGGAGGTTCCCCTCAATGCAGATGAAGAGAGCTGCAGACCCAGCCCTGGGCTCCCACCGTGGCCCCCTTCCTACTGTCCCTGTCTCTTCACTGCCCTGGCCCTTCTCCCTCCTCTGCTCTGGCCTCTCAGCTAGATAACTGCGACAGATTCCTCCAGTCTCTGCCCTCCCTGAAACACGACCCATACGGTGGCCTAGCTGGTCTTCCTCGTCATTGCCCTGCTCCACAACCCTCGGTGACTATCGCCTCCATATCATGGCCTTTGTGGTCTGGCCTGGTTGTGCCAGCCAAGGCGGCTTCCATGCCAAAGGTCCATTTTCTCCTTCCCTACCTTTGCCCAGGCTGGCCCTCCTGCCTACAGCGCCCTCCCTCTCGGCCCTCAAAGCGCAGCTCAGGTACCACCTCCTCCAGGACGTCTCCCTGGATACTGCCTGATGCTAGTTCCCGCTGACTGACATCTACTCGGTAGATGTTTCAGATTTCCTTTTCCGGGTACGTGTTGCGGCCCCCAAATGGAGTGTGAGCGCTTTGAGAGCCGGGGCCATTTGCTGCTTTTGGACTTTGCAGCCACAGAGCGAGGAACATAGAAAGGAGTTAATCACGGCACACAGACCGACTGCACCGGCTTCCACTTCCCCAAAAGGGTTTCTAGGACCCAGATGAGGGCAGTCGGGCAGGGCCGCTACCTGAACCTCATCTTGTGGGTGGTGGACCACGAGGGCATAGGCCAGGGTGTCCTCGGACAGGGGGGAGAAGTTAGCTTGGTCCAGCAGCGGCGCCAGGGCCCTGAGGACCTCCTGCTCATTATCCAGGCGCTGAGGGTCCGTGAGGAAGGGCTGCTCCAGAGTCTCCCGGTCTGGGTTGATGGGGTCATACAACGCCTAGAGGGGAGGGGCAAAGACCGAGGTCAGGGTCCCACGTGCAGGACTGCAGGCGGGGAGGGGGCTGGCAGGGCGATGCTGCCCGCTCCGCCAGGACCCACTGACAGCGAGTCAAGGCCGACACGGTAGCACTATGACTCCCAGCCCTGACGTTCCAGCCGCCTGGGCTGCTTCTGGCGGTCTCGGAAGCCCAACATCAGGGCCGGGCCTGCGGTGACCGGGCCAGGGTGGTAGGAGGCGCAGAAGGCAAATGCTACCACGTCCTTATAAAGCACTGGGCTCCTCACCTGCAGCTGGGTCAGGGTGCGGTCATACTGAGAGAGAATGCAGATGTCAGTGTGGGTTACAAACTCCTGGAACGCAACCTTGGCAGAAGAACTAGAGTGAAACTCCTAGAAGGGAAAAACTGGACATTACTGTCTCAGCCAGGAGACCCTCCCTACCAGCACCTTGTGGGCATCCTCCCCAGCCGGGGTGGGGGGTGAAGACGAGGAGGCTCTGCTGCTCCAGGGGATGCTGGGAGTTGTGGTTCTAGGGAATTTCCCCGTGCAAGCTGGAAACTACAAGTCCCAGGATCCTCCGGGGTAGCCACTCCAGCCCCAGGAAGGGAGGGGGGAAAAGGGCTTTCTCGGCCTCAGGGGCTGCTGGGATTTGTAGTTCCCCAGATGACCTGCAGGAGGAGCTGTAGCAGCTGGTCCTTGGAAAAGGGGATGAAGCGTTCCTGATACTGCTGGGCCCAGTTCCGGGGCTCCGTGGGGTTCCACATCTTCCGATACTCCCCCATCTTGGTGGTTAGGGAGGAGTGGGGCCGGGAGGCAGCCTCGGGGGCCCAGGGCCTCAGCGGGGGCCGGGGGCAGCCCCCCCACCCGGCCCCACAGGCTGCTCGAGCTACCCGCAGCATGCAGAGCCCCAGCACCCTGAAGAGAGGGGGAGAAGGGGGAAATAAGGATCAGAAACAGGCACTACCTGGCAAAAGTAGGGGCACTGTCAGTGGGGGGGTCACAGGTCACGGGTCACTAGTCAGGGGTGCCTTTCCCAAAGCCTCGCCCTCCTCCCTATCTGCCCGCAAGGGACAGCCCAAATCTTGGCAGACGACTGGATTTCCCGGGCCCCGCCCAAGCCCGCCTCAGGGCCCTTATCTCCTGCACCCCAGTTGGCATGAGGTCAGAGGTCAGGAGGCAAAGGTCAAGGGGTACACAACACGTTTGTTCCACAGCACACCCCCCTGGGCGGGACGGAGCAGGGAAAGCTATTTCCGGGGTGGATTTGAATGCATCTCAGGAAACCCCGGAGTCACCCCAAAGCCCTGCATTAAGAATGCACCCCCCGCCCCAGAAAGCCTTGCCCTCCCCCTCACCTTAGAAAGGTTTGGTTGTCATTGAGCCTGGCGCACATGCGCAGGGCCAGCAGCATGGGCCTCCAGGTGCCACTTTATTCGAGGGACAGCGCATGCGTGGGGGTGAGGGCGCAGAGTCGCCTCCCTAGGTGATTTCCTGGGCCACGCATGCGCCTACATGGAGAAGGCGGGGCGGGGTTTGATGAGTGAGGGCATTCTGGGGAGTGAGCTCAGACTATTTCCTCAAGGGACTTCCCCGGGGGGGGGGGGAGAGAAGAGTAACTGGGGTTCGTTTGCTGAACGCATGCGCGCACAGCCGACGATGATTCAGCGGCGCGCGGCAAGGCTCGTGCACGCTCAGGCCAACGGCTTCCGAGGCCCCGCCCTCATCCCTCAGTGAGGGGGAGTGTGCCGGGGGGGCGGAGCCTCCTGTCAGCCAATAGGCTTTCGACGCGCGGATAGGAAAAGGCGAGGAAAAGGCGGGAAAAGGGCGGGTCTGGGGAGAAAGCTGCTGGGGCAGGGAGGTCGGGTGGGAGGGGCGAGAGGGAAGGTGAGGGGGAGAACCTCCCCATTTTCTGAGGAGACTCCCCCCACTTCTGAGGTGGAGACCCCAGTTCTTAAGGAAATATCCCCCTATTCTGAAACTATACCCTCTCCCATTTTCAGAGCAGATTCCCCAAAATCTGAGGGGGAGACCCCCTTTTCCTAAAGAGAGTTGCTCCCCTGAATCTGAGTGATCCCTCCAATTCTGAGGGAAGACTACAATTCTCAGAAGAGATACCCCGAGTTCTGAGGTGGAGACCCACATTTTCTGAGGAAATTCCATCTAAAGATGACAGGGAGGCCTCCCATTTCCTGATGAAAGCCCCCCAAATTCTGAGTAGATAACCCATAATTCTGACAGGGAAACCTCATCTCCTAAGGAGATTCCCGCTTTTCCGAAAGAGACCCCTCTTTTCCTGAGCATATCCCCCCAATTCTGAGGCTAGATCTGCCAGTATGAAAGCGAGTCCTCTTCCCTGAGCAGATTCTCCCCGATTTGGAGCCAGAGACCCCATCCTGAAGAGAGATCGATCAATTCTGAAGGGAAAACTCTTGCTCCGAAAAGAATTGAGAAGGAAAACCCCCAGTTTTTGAGAGAGAGCCCCAAATCTGAGTGTGATATAGCCTCCTGCATTTCTGAGGCGGAGTCCCCCGATAGTGAAGTGAAGACTCCCCTTCTGAACTAAATCCCCGCTTTGGAAGGGTAGACCACCATTCTGAAAGAAAAGTCCTTTATTCTGAAAAGCTGTCTACCATTTTGGGGAGACTCGTTAAGAAGAGGTATCCCTCATTTCTGTGAGGGAAGACCCCATTCTGAAGAGATACCCTCAATTCTGTGGTGGGTACTCCCCATCCTGAAGGAATATCTTCCAATTCTTGGGGTACTGGCCTCCATTTTGAATTAGCGCGATGCTTTAATGGGCCATGCCTCCCCCCTTCCCTTCTCCCAATCCGCCTTCCTACTTCAACCTCCAAAGCCCCTACTCATCCCATTCTGACCTATCCTTCTTTTCTCTTTCTGCCAATGCCCCCAGGTTAGGTCATCTGAGTCTGAGTGAAGGGAAGACCCGTGCCTCCTGCCCGCAAAGAGGAAAAGGGCCAACATGTACGTGCCCGACAGCCTCCGTGACCTGGCCGATAGCGAAGTGGTCCAGTTTGTGAAGAAACCAAAGACTATATCCCGGATCTTTGCTGGGGTGAGGTCCCCATTCCCATCCCTGGCCTAACATTCCCCTTGCCTGGTTGGAGATGCTTCAGGTTTCTCCAGCAATAATGATGAAAATGGAGCTCACTCACATTTCTGTGGTTTACAACAGAGGTTAGATGTCTTGGAACTGGATTCTTGAAGGTTATGTCTTCAGAGCACAACTCCTCCCTCAAATTTAGGGACTTAACAACTTCCACTGTGGGCAAGTCACTTAAGCCCTTTCTTTCTTCATCTGTCCAAGATAATACTGTTTTTTGGCCTTTTTCCCCCCCATCCCCAGCACTCCACGTAGAGCCTGGTATGGAGTAGGTGCTTAATACATGCGAGTTGCTGGTTATATTGCCTGCCTTACCAGGCTTTGTCAACCATAAAGTGCTTTATAAATGTGCGTTTTTATTCCTATGTAGAAAAGGATCACCAAGAACCTGTGTATCTTCATCAAAGCAGTTAGTGCCAGGCTCATTGTATTTCCTTTTCTGCTGGGGTTACTAACCTGTTAGGCAGATCTGAGGAATTTGGTCAATGTAGTTTACCCAGATCTGAGCCAAGCATTCGTCAAAGCCTCACATAGTCTATTATGGATAAGATGGAAAGATGTGGACTCAATGATAATGCATTGAATGGCTAAATTCAAAGCCTGGATGACTGCTTTCTGAGGATTTAGAACTGGGCCCAAATAGCAGTCAGTAAGAGTTTGAGGACAACTTGAAACGAGTGTCTGCTCGAGGAGCGCAGAGATCTGTGCTTGACTCTGGGGCATTTTACATGTCTACTAAATGACCAGTAATGCCATAGAGAGCTCGATTACCAAATTTGTAGGGGACGTAAAGAAGAAAGGGACAGCTAACATGTTGGATGACAGTCAGAATCCCCAAAGATCTCTTCAGGCTCCAACACAAAGCCAAATCCAATAACGTAACATTTAATAGGGATGATTAATCAACCTATCTACAAACATTTATGTGTCAGGCACCATGCTGAGCATTGGGAATATAAACAGAAAGCAAAACCAGAAATAATCCCTGCCCTCAAGGAAGTTACATTCTAATGACAGACAAGATGACATAAATCAGAATTTACACTGTGAATACAGGGCAGATGGAAGGAAGGTCTCCTTAGACTGGCAGCCCTAGCAGCTGAGGGGACCAGCAAAGGCCTCCCGGAGAAGGTAGCACTTGAGTCTTAAAAGAGGCCTGGGATTCCAAGATCAAGAAGGAAAGCAGTCTAGGTAGACGGACAGGAGATGGGGTGCTGCATGCAAAGGAGAGGAAGGAAGCCAGTATGGCCTAGATTAGAAAGAAGAAGACGGGAATGGTGGGAAGGGGCCAGGTTGTAAAGAGATTTAGATGCCAGAGGACTTTATATTTGATCTGGAACCAGTGGAGTTTATTAAGGGGAAAGTTGGGGGGTGGAGTGGGGTATGCCTTGGTCATAAGCACACTTTTGCAAATAATCTGGCAACCAAGGATGGGCAAGGAAGACCAGTAAGAAGGCTATTGTATTAATTTCAGGTGAGGCATGATCAGGACCTGAATTAGGGTGGTGGTTATGTCAGTGGAGAGAAGGGGATGTAAGCAAGACACATTGAAGAGAGAGAAGTGCTAAGCATTGGAGGTGTAGGTGAGCAAGAGATGGGGAAAACAGAGGATGACGATGACATTTTGAACCTAGATGACCAAAAGGATTCCCCTCAATAGTAACAGGGAATTTCAGAATAGGGGAAGATTTGGGGGCAAAGACAGAGGCTCTGTTCTGGACGTGTTGAATTTCAGATGCCCTCAGACTATCCAGTTTGAAGTCTCTAACAGGCAGATGGTGATGTGAGACTGGAGCTCCAGAGAGAGAGAGACTGGCACTAGATAAGTAGAAGTGGGAATCATCTGCATAGAGATGATAATAATTAAACCTACGGGAGGCAATGAGATCACCAAGTGAGAGAGTATGGAGAGAAAAGTATGAAAGGCCAGGAGCAGGGCCTTGAGGGATGCCCAGAGTTTAATGGGTTTGACTCGGAGGAAGATTGAGCCAAGAGGACTGAGAAGGAGCAGTCAGGCAGGCAGGAGAGAACCCAAGGCTCATGAAAACCCCGAGAAGAAAGAGCATCCAGGAAGAGAAAGGGGTCAATAGTGTCAGAAGCTGCAGAGGGGTCAAAAGGCCAAGGGTCAAGAAGCCCTTTGCTTTGGCATTTGAGAAGTCCTTGCTGACTTTGGAGTTTGGAGTGAATGATGAGGTCAGAAACCAGACTGCAGAAAGTTTAGAAGCCAGCAAAAGGAAGCTTTTTGTGGGAGTTTAGCTAATACCGAGAAGAGAGATATAGGACAATAGCTGGCAGGCATGGTAGGATCTAGTGAGGTATTTAAGGCCAGGCGAGACTTGGGCACCTTTGTAGACAGCAGGGAAGGAGCCAGTAGACAGAGAGAGATTGAAGATAATTGAGAGAGTAGGGATGGTGGCGGGGGCAAAGAAGGTGGGAGGGGAAGAAACCAAGAGTAAATCTACGGGAGCTGGCCCTGGCAAAGAGAAGGGATCGAGCTGGAGATAATGGGGGGATGATGTAAGAGGAATACGTGATGAGCAGGAGGTAAGGAGGGAGCTCTCAGGAATGGCCTCGATTTTTTCAGTGAAGTATAAGGAAGGCTTGAGGAGAGAAGAGGTGCTGTGGTGAGCGGGTTAGTGAACCAGTCAGGGTGGGAAGCAGCATTGGCCCGGGAAGATGAGCTTGCATAAATGTACAGTGGGCCCAGTCAGCACAGGTTCAGGATCCCCTCCAGTTCCATTTAGCGGCAGGCCGGGAGGGGAAAGGAGGCAGATGGCTGGAGTGAGGCAGGCTGAGAGATGGCAAGGTGGGATCCCCGTAGAACAAGCTGGTCAGGGAGTCAAGAACAGAGGGTGGTGTAAATCAGCCCGGCTCATCCACGCATCAAGGCTGGGAAGAGATCTTAGAAGAGTGATGGGGAGCGGTGTGTAGGCCCCGGGAAGGACCATGGCCTGGGACAACACTGAGGGATGGAAGGAGGACAAAGGCCCTTTAGGAGGAAAGCCCGAGGAGAGATGGCAGCTCCAAGTTCTCCAACGCAGAAGTGGGAAGCTTGTGGGGGCGGAGGGCCCCAAGCATAGCTAGCATCCAGTCACTGCAAGGGCACGAGCACCCCTGCGTGCCGAAGAGGGAGAGGCGAGGAGCAGGTTACGGTTACCGAAAAGCCTGAAGAGGTGGGAAAGGTGCTAAAGGGAGTGAGTGTCAGTGCGCATGTTGAAGTCTCCTAGGATGAAGTAAGGAGCCGAGGCGGGAGGGGAAAACTCTAGGCCAAAGCTGATCTCACTGACAAAGGAGGGTGCGAGGCCTGGGCCCGGGAGGCAATAGCTTAGAGAGTCTGGCCTGGGTGACCAATGTGGACCGAGTGAACCTCAGAGGAGGGGAGGTGGCTGCGTGACGGTGGCCAAGAGCGTCCAGAGGAGGGCGGCGTGGGCCTGGGTTGTTGGGAGGCAGCCAGGAGATGGAAGGATCAGGAAAGGAAAAGGCTGAAGATGCAAGCTAGTTCGAGTATAGAGCAGGTGAAACAGAAGGATTCTGCCCAGTGGGAGGGGCAGGGAGATCCCGGGTGGAGGGAACCTGGGAGGGAAGGAAGTGATGAGAATGGGAGAGGGGACCACGGGGGCAGACGGGAGGTCCTGCATCACAGAGAGGGAGAGAGGAGGAGGGAAGTAAGCCTATCTAACCACTGGGGATCAGCCCAGGCACAGATAAAGGCAGGTTCAAAGTCCTTGGATTGTGTGGACACAGCCCTCAGCTGCCTGGCCCGCCCTCCTGCTATTGGAGCGCACTGGGTTTATGATCACCTGGCCTTGTTCTCAGGTTGAAAAGCCCAGTTAAGGGAGGAGTCAGGAAGGGCTTCTGCCAGTAGGAAGTGGCCTCTTCTCCTCTCCCCCCAGCAGGGCTGGCCTGCTTGTGCCCTCAGCACGGGCACAGGGGTGTCTAGGACAGAGCCAGACCCAGTGCTTCAGCCCAGTCTGGCTCCACCAAAGCAGGTCTTGGCCTCCTTGTGCCCTTAGGCCGGTCCAAAATAGAAATATAAATGATTCAAGAAAACCACCTCCCGAATCTCTAATCAATCGTGATTTAGAGCATTTTTTTCATATGACTACAGATAGCTTTAATTTCTTCATCTGAAAACTGCCTGTTCATATCCTTTGACCATTTATCAATTGGGGAATGATTTGTATTCTTATAAGTTTGACTCAGTTCTCCATATACTTTAGAAATGAGGCCTTTATCAGAGACTGGCTGTAAAAATTCTGACCCAGTTTTCTGCTTCCCTTCTAATCTTGGTTGCATTGGCTTTGTTTTGCAAAAACTTTTCAATTTAATGTAATCAAAACTATCTATATTGCATTTCATAATGTTCTCTATCTCTTGTTTGGTCCTAAATTCCTCCCTTCTCCACAGACCTGACAGGTAAACTATTCCTTGCTCTCCTAATTTGCTTATGGTATCACCCTTTATGTCTGAATCATGTACCCATTTTGACTTTATCCTGGTATATAGTGTGAGACGCTGGTCTATACCTCGTTTCTTCCATACTCTTTTCCAGTTTTCCCAGTAGTTTTTGTCAAATAGTCTTTGGGTTTATCAAACAGCGGATTACTGTAGCCACTGATTACTGTCTTGTGTACCTAATCTGTTCCACTGATCCACCACTCTGTTTCTTAGCCAGTACCAAATGGTTTTGCCGATTGCTGCTTTATAAGACACTTTTAGATCTGGTACGGCTAGGCCACCTTCCTTTGTATTTTTTTCTCCATGAATTCCCTTGATATTCTTGACCTTTTGTTCTTCCAGATGAATTTTGCTATGGTTTTTTCTAGTTCTTTAAAATCATCTCTCAAACCTAAGATGGGTCACATGTGGTTAGACTGAGAGCAGAGATAAAACTGAAGCTCCCTGAGAGGAAGGCCGGTTTCATTTTTTTGTCTGTATCCCCAGGGCAAAGCACAGTGCCTAGCATATAGCAGCTGTTTAATAATTGCTCATTGATTGATTGATTGTTTGATAATCAATCTGACAATCTGAACAAGAGCTGGAGCTTTTAAGGGGCTGCAAACTCAGTAGGAGTAAGCATTGTAAAGGGCGGCCAGAGATCCAGTGTGACTGCTGTCTTCAGAGAGGCACTGAACCCGGGCATCAGCCTGCCTTGGCCAGACCACGAGCCATCTGGGAGTTGGGCTGTCAGGGCTGGGCACTCCGGTTTGTGAAGGGCTGAGTGTAGGAAAGGAAACCTGTTGGGGCCCAGCCTGAGGGTGGCTAGGGAGAGCTAGAGTGCTGTGGGCTCCGCAGGCTTAGTGAGGAGAGCAAACTGGCAGCTCCGGGCTTCCTCCACATGCACCAGCTGATCTAAGTGAGGTTTAAGGGAAACAGTCAGCTCAGTTCCACAATGTTTATTAAACCTCTGCTGTGTGTCAGGTCCAATGTGGGAGTCACTGGGCTGCAAAGAAGGAAAAAAAACCACAGTAATTCTTGCCCTCGGGATATCTCACGAGTCCCTAAAGGACTGAAGGACTGAAACATGTCCTCCCAATTGTCTGGTTGTATAGCTGGTGCAACATCGTCCTTCTTGTTTTACAGATAAGGAAACTGAGGCTCAGAGGGATGACATGACTTGTATAGTCTCACACAGCAAATAAGTAATGGTCCCAGGATTGCCCCTGAAGTCTCCTCCTTCCAGGCCCAGGGTTCTTCTCACTTTTCTGCTCGCTGCCATGTTCTTAGGGGCACCTCCCAAACCTCCCAACAGGGAGAATTCCAAGGTGCAATGGGCGATCCCCAGAGGGAGTCGATTCTTGGCCACTTGGGATCTCCAGGCAGAGGTTGGAGGACCAGTTATCAGCAGTGTTACAGAGAGGATTCTTGTTCAGGGTGTGTGTGACCAGGAGGTATCAGACCAGTCAGGAAGCACTTACCAGGCACTAGCTACTGCCAAGCAGTGGCAATACAAAGAAAGGTACCCTACGCTGTCCTTTTCTCCTGAGAAAGGACTTTGTTTATCCTAGGGACGATCTTGCCCTTCCAAACCCTCCTTTGCATTATTCCTCCCATCTGCTGCCTCTCGTGTGCTGCTGAAGGAAGCTGGAGAAAATCACGGGATTGTGTTGACTGGGTCTACTACAGATTTATGTTATGTGATCTCAGCTGGGCCCTCGCTGCGGCAAGGCAATCCTTTATACCTCCCAAACTTGTCATCCCTCCTCAAACCTCCCACAGTTCCCCCTCCCCCCACTTCTCAGCTAAGAACCTTGCTTTATATTTCACCTAAAAAAAAACCAAACCTGAGGCTATTGACAGAGAGCTCCCTCTTCTCCCCTCTTCCTCATCTCCTATCCCTCAGATGCCCTTGGTCACTATGTCTTCCTTCATGGGTCTCTGCCATGATGAGGTGGCCTTTCTCCTTGACAAGGCCAAGCCCCCATGCACATCTGGTCTTCTCCAGAAGCTTGCCTCCTCTGTCAGAGCAAATCCTCAGGCTCCTTTGCTGGATCTTCATCTAGCTTACTCTGGCTAATCACGGAAGTCTTCCAAGGTTCTGTCCTGAGTCCTCTTCCCTGGTCCCTCTGTTCTGGCTCACTCGGGGATCTCATCAGCTCACGTGGTCTCAAGGATACACCTGTCTCTGCAGGTGACTCTCCAATCCTGCCCCCACATTTCCGAGTGTGCCCCAGGCCTGGACCACTCTCCCTCCTCATCTCTGCCTCGTGATCATCTGGGTTTCCTTCAGGCCTCAAGAACGTCCTCCCTTCTGCAAGAGTCCTCCTTCATCTATTCCTCCATCTAACTTACTACCTGTTGCCCATCAGACTGGGTTAAACTGTGACTGGGCACAATTTCTGGCACATGGGAGGTGCTTACCAAGTGCGAGTTGTCTGACTGAAATACAGTCCCTGCCCAAGAAGCTCACACTCTAAGATGGAGGAAAAGGTTATGGTAGAGGGGGTGTGTGTGTGTGTGTGTGTGTAGCCCGGGTGTGTGTTTGTGTGTGTGTGTGTGTGTGTGTGTGTGTGTGTGTAGCCCGGAGGAAAGACTGGGAAAATCCCCAGCAGCAGATGGGATTTGAGTTGAGTCTTCAGGAAGCCAGGAAGGGGAACGAGCATTTATTAAGTGCCTTCTATGTGCTAAGCACCTTACAGATATCTTATTTGGTCCTTACAACAACCTTAGGTGCTGTTGGATCCCCATTTTACAATTGAAGAAACTGAGGCAGATGAGGTTAAGTAACTTGCTTAGGGTCACACAGCTAAAAAGTGTCTGAGGCCCAGCAAATTCCCCAACCAGCTGCCTCAGGGAAGCCCAGAGCCAGAAGTGAGGAGGAAGAGCATTCCAGGCATAGGAGAGAGCAGTGAAAGTGCACCCAGGTGGGAGATGGAAACAGCCAGGAGGCCAGTGTTGTTGAACCCCAAAGTGCATGGGGTGGAGTAAAGTGTGAGAAGACTGGAAAGGTAGGAAGGGGCCAGGAGCTGGGGGCCAGGAGCTGGCCGCCAGCTTACGAAGGGCTTGGAATGCTAGAGGATTTTCTCCTGGATCCTGGAGGTTATCAAGGAGGGGGGTGACATGCTCGGCCTGTCTTTAGGAAGGCCACTTTGGCAGCCTGGAGTGGGAAAAAGCTGGAGGCCGGCAGGCCCCCCCCCACCCCCAGCAGCAGCTTTTGCCATAGTCCAGGCATGAGGAGGTGAGGGCAGTGTCAGAGGAGAGAAGGGGGCATGTTCTGGAGAGGCTGCAATGGTAGAAACACACTTGGCAGCAGAGTGGATATGAGGCATGAGTGTGAGGAAGAACAAGGCTGAGGTTGGGAGCCTGGTGGTGCCTCAAGAGGCTTCCCAAAGAGAAGAGGGGAAGGTCTGGGGGAAAGGAAGAGTGCTGCTTTGCCCATAAGAAGTCTGAGATGCCTGCGGCCGTGGTGTTAGAGATGTCCAGAAGACCATCAGCAGAGAGGTTGGGGCTGCATTCCTAGGTCTGAGAGATGGTAGTTGAACCCATGGAAACTGATGCGATCACCAAAGGAGAGGGCCCAGGACAGAACCCGGCAGACGGTCGTGGCAAGACATGAAAATCCAGCAAAGGCATTTTGCTGAGAGGGACTGATCAGACAGGGAAGAGCTCTCACGAGGTCTTTTCTACTTCTGAGACTCCAGGGCCAGGAGAGATGGAAGAGGGAATGAGCAAAACTTAGAGGGGAGCCCTCGTTGGGGAGCCCTGGAGCTGAGGGTGAAGAGAGGGCCGGCCTTGGACCACAGGCTGCTGGGATATCCTGTGAGCACTATTATGGGAGCTACTGTCCTTACTGAGGACATGGAAGGTCCCCCTGTTTATTAATTCACCAAACTCCTGTGTGGCTCCGTGCTTGATGCTGGCAGTGTTAGCAGGAACTGCCCCCTACTCCTGGGATCCTCAGAAGCTTCTGTGGGTGTGCCACAAGCAAAGCCGGACAGCAAGTTTGGCGGCTCGAGAGAGAGAGGACGGGACAGGGATGGGCTGCCAGGAGCAGAGAGTGGAGAGCAGGCCAGGGCTGCTAGAGAGGGACCTCTGGGTGGGGCTAGATGGGGAGCCTTTGGCAGACAGGGAATCAGCAGGATTTGGAATCATTTGATATGAGTGAGGCTGGAGGAGCCCAAGGTTATGGAATGAGGAAGACTGGGGGGCTGATAACCGAGCTGGCAGAAAGAGTGAAGTCACAAGGAAAGGTTTGGATGGCCCTGCTCTTCCCTGGCCCATCATGCAGGGTCCCAGAATCCCAGGCTCACCTTGGGGTGCGCCATGTGTCTCCACCTTCTGCCCCCACTCCTGGGTCCCAGCCCCCCAGGGAGAAGGGGAGGCAGGAGCAGAGGCTGGGTGCTCAAGCAGGAGGATCTGGGCGGGTTTGAGGAGCCCAGGTGGGGAAGGGCCCCTGGAGGGTTTCTCTCCTCAAGCCCGTGACCACGAAGGATCAGGAGACGGGGAAGGCCCTCCTGGGGAGCCCTTCACCCTCAGCTGTTGCCCCGTCCAGGTCTTCTCGCTCATTGTTTTTGCCACGCTGCTGACTGACGGCTACCAGAACCTGACCAGCTCTTCGCAGCTGCACTGCGTCCTCAATGACAACAGAGTGGCCTGCAGCTTTGCAGTGGTCACCAGCCTCCTGGCATTCCTAGGCTGCCTGCTCTTCCTCACCCTGGACAGCCTGGCGGCCCGCATCACCAGAACCCGCCTGAAGACCACGGTCTTGCTGCTGGACTTCTCGCTCTCTGGTAGGGGCTCCTCAGCTCTCAGCCTGGGCTGCTTAGAGATGACCCTCAGGGTCTCAGGCCTCCTTTCAGAAATGGAGGGGCTCGCCTCTGACCTGCTCCTTGTTCTGGGCTGAGACCATGCAAGTCATTCTACCCCAGTATCGGGACCCTGGTGCCCCCAGGGGCCTGGCTGTCGTAAAGATTAGCTTGAGGGGGAACGGGTAACCTTGGCAACTGTATGGGAGCACACCAGCCGAAGGCTGGGATGATGGGGAGGGCGTCCTCGGAAGAGTGGGGCAGTGTACCCGATGAACAGAGCAGGCTTTGCAGTCCAGATGACCTGCGGCAGTGTCCCCCCAGCCGTCCCGATAGTGTGCCCCACCCGGCGCCGTGGACTGCACAGCGGCTGCCGTGGACTGCACAGCAGCTGCCGATTGATGAAATCAGGGTCAGTCCAAAACACTAATCGTGATGATGACTGACGGCTGGTCTCCCCATCTCCCTTTGCTCATTGGCGGACTCACTGGCCCTTAGGAGGAAGGCCAGTCCTTCGGGAAGCCCCCAGGGCTGCTCCGCCTCCTCTGGCAAGGCTGTTGACCCCAGCACCCCTCTCCTCTGCTGCAGTCATCTGGGTCGGAGTCTGGTTCGTGGGCTTTTGCTTCCTGGCCAACCAGTGGCAGCGCTCACCCCCTCACCACTACCTTCTGGGCAACAGCAGCGCCAAGGCAGCCATCGCCTTCTCCTTCTTCTCCATCCCTGTCTGGGTAAGATCAGGGTCGGGGCAGAGGGAGGCAGACCAGGCCTGGGGCTGCCTTCAAAGAGGTGACGAAGTGTCTGCTGGGTTCTGAGAATGACCCAGTTTCCCTATTTTCAGGCCCCTCACAAGCTGGCAGGACTCTCTTCCTATCACCTTTCCCATCATGAAATCAGGTCCAAAGCCTTGCCCCAGGCCTGAACTGGAAGAATTGTAGTCCAAAGAGGCCATGTTTGAATCTTGGCTCTGCCTCTCACTAGCTGTGTGACCTTGAGTCAGTCCCTTCCCATCTGAGATCGGTTTCCCCATTTGTTAAGATATCGGACAGTATGATCAGTAAGAATTCTCCCAGTCCTCAATCCCATGACCTCCCCACAGATGGCCCTGGCATACCTGACACTCCAGGACCTCCGCAGCGACTCGCCCGTCCCCTACAAGCGCTCCCTGGATGAGGGTGGCGTGGCTCTGACGACCACCACCAACATGGGACCCAACAGCCTGGGCTACTCCAGCTCCATCCCGCCCCCATATCCAACCACTCCCAAGGCGGCTCGCCTTACCATGATGAATGACAACTGAGGCCACTGTCGGTTATTAAAGAAACTTTCTCTTCCTCCCACGGAGGTGTTTGGGAAAACCTGAGCCTGCCATGTCTCATCCATCCATCCCTCGATCAAAACCAGCCCTTTCTTGTTTCAGGGAAAGGGGAAGGGAGAAGGGTGTTGTTTGGGATGACAAAGTGGGGTCTCTCCTCGTCCCCTTGACTTGCCTCTGGGGCAGCCACACAGACCTCCATAACTCCAGAGAAATGCACTTATTTCTTCTAAGGAAAAGTCAGTGAACTAGCTGTTTGGCCACAGGAAAGTTACCAAGTTCTTCTAGCCTCAGTCTCCTCTTTAAAAGGGGAGACTCATTCTGGCATGACTTCATTCACAGAGTTGTCTGAAGGGTACCAAGAACATTAATGTCCACAGGAATGGGATTCAGTAATTAGGGCCTTCAGAAGCCAGACTTTGCACAGGTCGTCCTGGGGCAGCCTCACTCCATCCTCGGGGATGCCAGCCAGGGCTGGAAGGCCCCGCCAAGTTCACATACACACAAGCCCACCCTGTGCTCAGCTGCAAAGAGAGAAAAGGAGGGTGAGGCTCTTTCCCAGGCCTCCAGGCCCAATGTCCAGAGCTGCTACTGCTCTGCAGGGGACAAGTCATTATTGGGTAGGTCAGGATCCCTCACAATGGGGACTTGAAGCAGAAGACACACCAGGAGAGGAGAGGCACACACAGACAAGTAGGCAGTGAGAAGTTCATTTTTGTCTTTATTTCAAGTGAACAAGGAGTTAACCATCAATTCTGTACAAAAATGGGGCATGGCCCCTTCCCTCCCTCCCCATGCCCCTGGACAAAAAAACTGACAAAAAGATATAAAAGATGGAGGGGAGGAGTCACCCCACCAGCCCCTCCAATTCTCCAGAAAAAAAGCTGGAGGAGGGGTCCTGTTGGCCAGGGAAGAGGCTGAGTGTTTGGCAAAGTTTGGAGGAAGGAGGAAACAGACAGCAGGGAAGTGGGGGCTTCCCATCCACCCCCCAGACAGTTTGTAAAAACACAGGTGTCCGGAGGCTGACAAGATGATGGAAGGAAAAACAGGGACTTATCTAAATCCCAACCAACTCAGAAAAGATTTCGTCTTTGTTTCTCTAAAAGGCAAAACACTAGAAAGAGCCAAGATCCCGAGCTCTTGCTCTCCAAGGCTGGGGGGGCCCCCATGCCCTCCTCCCCTCCCCCCAGCCCTGGGGAGCAGAGAAGGGGGTGGGGATCCATTGATTCTTTTAAAAAGTTACCCCTTGGGCTGGGCAGGTCCTGGGGCCCCCCTGCCCTCCCCCACCTGTGCTGCTGTGGCCTATCTCCTCTCGCCATTACTGCTTCTGCTGCGGAGATGCCCTGGGGAGTCACCACTATGCAGGCAGGCTTAGCTTCTTCCCCTTTAAGACTGAGGGGGAGAGAAAGAAAGAGTGGGAGTCAAGAGTGGGAGTCAACAGTGGGAGGAAAGAGCAGCCCCTCCCCATACACATACACATGTGCGCGCACACACACACACACACACAGAATGGGGATACCCGCAAGGCTAAGGCCACATGACAGAGGACGGGCTGAAGTGGAGGGGCTAAGGAGGAGGCCAGGGAAAGGGGGGGCCCTGAGCTAGCTACCTTTGGTGATATAGAGGTAGAAGAAGTCGCAGTAGAGCACAGTCTGTACCAGGCCAGCTACGATGGCGATAAGGTCAAAGAAGCCTTCAAACTGGTAGCGCCAGATCCAATTGAACAGGTAAAGCGTCCTGTAGACGCCCAGAGCAAACAGGTAGTGGCTGGTGATGGTCTCAGCTTCTCCCGTCTTGCTCACCATGAACAGCTGCGGCAGGATGGCCACAGACTCCAGGTAAATGGAGAAGGTCCATAGGATCTGGGGGGCGGAGAGAATGGTGCGGTGGAATGAGCGAGGTCAGAAGGGAGGGCCAGGGAGGCAGGGGAAGGTAGAGCTGAGGAATCAAGGATGGCTGGAATGGGGATGCTGGACGGAATCAAGCTGAGCCAGGGGCACGGAAGGACACAGGAAGAGACCTGGAGAGGGAGGTTGGTGGGCAAGGGGGCACACGCAGGAAAGGAGGAGGAAAGAAGGGAGATGAGGAGGGCAGAACCAAAACGAAGACAGGAACAGAGCCAAGGAGCATAGGACACAAGGCAAAGGCAGGGCAAAGGCAGGAAAGCTGGGCTAGAGGGGGTGAAAGGCCCCCAGGGGAGAGAGTAGGGATGGGGGGAGAGGCACAGAGAGGCGAGGCAGAGGAGAGGAAAAGAGATGGAGGGCACAATCGTTAGAGGATCGGCTCTGGGGGCCTCCACTCCAATGAGCGCTCCCCCCCCACCCCGCCTCCTGCAGCTGCTGAGACCAGGTCAAGGACCACGGGGGTATGCGTGCTGTTGGGTCTTCTCCCCCCAAAGCAGGAAGGACCTTCAGTCCCAGTGGCATCTGTAAAGTTACCACCTAAGCCTAGGGTGCTGCACTATGTGAGCTGGCCCCACAGGCAAGGAACCACAGAAGGGCTGGATTTCTGGCTCAGGCCCTGGACCCGACCCATGCTCCCCAACAACCTAATTCTCCTCAAAGAGTATTCCCCAGTTCTGGGGGGGAGGGGGCTGGTGTCTCAGTCTTGTGGTTGTCTCACCTCCCTCCAGTCAGGCTCACCTCCAGTGGTGTGAAGTCATGGTTGACTAGAAAGGCCAAGATGGCTGTGGGGACCACAAGGAACTCCACTCGGAAGGTGTCGTGGTTGCCATCATAGGTGGCCTTAAACTTGCTGTAGATCATCCAGACGGTGGTGAAGGAGCAGGCGATGTAGACCACCTGGAGGGAGGTGGAGACCACCCTCAGGACCGGCTCCCATTAGGGACTCCAGCTCATGGTCCCCGGAAGGTCCACCCCCAATGGCCCCCCCCCGTGGTCCCCCAGGCCCGAGGCCCCCCCCCCCCCCCCCCCCCAACCCCCCCCCCCCCGCCCCCGCACCTTCATGGACGTGTTGTAAAGGGAGATGTAATTGGTGAACAGGTCTAGGTAGCGGGCGGTGAAGACCACAGCGAACAGGACCTGGCTCTTCCCCGAGATTCCTGGGGGCGCACGGAGGGCTCAGTACGGCCTCCCTGCGAGGCCCCGGAGATCGGCTGGCAGGGCCGGCCGGGGCTCCCCCCCGGGGGCCTGACCGTCCGGGCCCGCCCTGCCCCTTTCCCAGGACTCACAGCCAGGGGGCGGGCCCGGCCGCGGGCGGGCCCAGATCTACGAGAGCTCAGGGCTTCGTGGGCCCGGCTAGGCCCGGCCGGGCCTGGGCTCCGGGCGCAGGCCGCCCCCCCCCCCCCGCCCCCCCCCCGGGAGTTCAGGAGGGGGGCCCCGGCCCGGGGCGGGGCCCCGGGGGGGGGGGGGGGGGGGGCGGTTAGGGCCCGGGCGGCCCCCTCCCCCAGAGGCCCACGTCACCAGCTCCGGCTCCCTCCCCTCCCCCGCGGGGATCCCCGGGGCGCCCCGGCCCCCCGCCCCTCCCCCGGCCCGGGCCGGGGTCCGCGCCCCCCGCCCCTCACCGGCGCAGGAGCGGGACTTCCAGATCTTGAGGAGCAGCAGGATGATGGCCAGGAGGTGGGAGAGGTCCCCCAGGAATCGGAAGAGGTTCATGGCCGCGGGCCGGGCCGCCGGGGCCGGGGGCCGGGGGCGCACACGTCCGGGTCCGGGGGAGCGCGCCGAGCAAGGCCCCGAGCTGGCGGAGGAGGCGGCGGCGGCGGCGGCGGCGGCGGCGGCGGAGCGCAGGGGGGGGGGGGGGGGGGGGGGGCGGGGGGGAGGGAGGAGGGACGGAGGCACCGCCCCCCGCGGGAGGAGCCAGCCAGCCGGCCTGGGGGCGGGGGCCGCTCGCAGCCCGCGCCCCCTCCCCGCGGCCCCGGCGCGGGGGGCCCCGCCGCTGTCTCGGGGGTCCGGAGTGCCGGCTCCCCGCCTGCTCGGGAGCTCCAAGAAGGGGCCCCTCCCATGGCCGTCCATTAAGTGCCTGGTCCGGCGGGAGGGAGCCCCGAGAGGGGGGAGCCCGGGCCCTGGGGTCCCCGACGGGCTGGGGAGCGGAGGGGGCTGCGGCACTAGACGTCTGGGCCCTCCCAGAGGAGAGGAGGGCACGGGCAAGGCTCCCGAGGACGCCCGGGTCCCCGAGGGGGCCTGGACACGCGGGGCCCTGGGTGGGGGGCTAGAAGGCTCAGTGCCTGGGCCCCCGACGGGCTGCCAGCGCCGAGCCTGGGCACAGCGCAAGGGGCAGGGGAGAGCAGAAGGCGGAAAAGCGGGGCTGCCGCCCCTCCCCTCGGTGTGTGCCCCCTCCCCTACATTTCTCAGGCGCTGGGGCGAGGGTCCGAGGGAATTTCCCCCACCCCGGTCCCGGAGAGCCGAGGGTATATTTGGGGGCTGGAAGGGGGGCATCCCTTTCTTTAGCCCTCCTCCCCTCTCCCCTGCTGCCTGTGGCCAGAGCCACATCTGGGGAGTCCCCCCCCCCGGGGCCCTGCGGGGAGGGCCGCGGCTGTCTCCGCGAGAGGGGCAGACGCGGACTGAATGCTAATCACCCCAGGAGCCTGTGTTCTAGCGAGTGTGTGTGTGTCCCTCTCCCCCGTCCCCCCTCCCTCCCCTCCCCTTCCCTCCCCTCCCTCCCCTCCCCTCCCGCTCAGGCTCCGGCTCGGGCTCCTCCACACAGCCTCCCGCCCCCCGCCCCAGCTTAGGTGTGTGTGGCAGGCGGGCGGGCGGGGTGGATCTGTCTGTCTGTCTGTCTGTGTCAGTCAGTCCCGTCCTTTGCTGCAGGGGTGGGTAAGGGGGGGCTACTCTGCGGCCTCAGCATCTCCTCTCTCCGGCGGCTGCCAGGTGGGTGTCTGTGGGTCCGTCTTTCCTGGGGAAGCAGCGGGTATTATCAGGTGGGGTGGTGGTGGTCCGTGTGTGGGGTGTCTGTGTGTAATTGTATTGCGTGTGTGTGTGTGTGTGTGTGTGTGTGTGTGTGTGTGTGTGTAAGGGGGCGGGGTGGAGAGAATTCTGTCTGCCTTTACCTTGAACTGGTTGTCTGTCCCCCCATCTGTCATCTGTCTGCACCTGAGATCTCCTGGCTTCTGTCTGGAGCCGCCCCCCCCCCCCCCCGTCTGTCTGTCTGTCTGTGTGCCTGTGTCCAGCTGTGGTTTTGTCTGGGTGTCTGGATCTGTGTGACCCAATGTCTGGCTGTTTGTGTGTCTCTGTGTCCCTATGTCCTGAATGAGCTGGTTTTCTCTGTGTATCTGTGTCTGGTTGTCTGTCTTTGTGTGAGGGTGTCTGTCTGTGTCCAGCTCTGTGTGTGTGTGTGTGTGTGTGTGTGGTGTGTGCGAGTCTCCCACTCCTTTCCAATGAGGGGGTGTTGTGGGGGGAATCCCTGGGAAGTGAGGCTGTGCGTGTGTGTCCGTGGCTGCCTGTAGGGGAGAAAGGCAGACAGGTAGCCAGGCAGGCTGTGTCTGAGGTGACCCTAGACAAACAGCCAGGAGACCCTGGAGGGAAGGTAGGGGGAGGGCAGGGAGGACAGAAGGAGAGGCTCCAGCCAGCAGCGAGGAGGAGGAGGAGGAGGAGGACCTCGCTCGTCGGGGAGGGAGGGGCACCCCAGGCAGGTGAGACGGGATCCCCATGGGGTGGAGGGCCTGCCACTTGCCGCGGCATCGAAGGCAGCATCCTGGGCCCAACTTTCAATGCAACATGTGTAGCCTGCCGAGCCTGGCCCCCACCTGAAGCCCCGGGGGACCGACGGCACTGAACCCCTCACCTGCTGTGTCCTTCTAGAGCCTGAGTCTGGGCCCCTGTCCCAGCCATCGTCACTCCCCTCCCCTACGACACAACAGGGTCATGAAAAGGTAAGGCCAGAAGGAGCTGGGCTGTCAGTGGGGTGGGACCCCCAGACCCTGGGCTGGGCAAAGGGGCAGCCCCGGAGTCTCTGCTGCCCTGGCCTCTCATCTTCCTCACATTCTAGGGTCTTCCTTTTCTCTCTCTCTCTCTCACTCACTCACACACACACATACACACACACACACACACACACACACACACAGGCACACACCCCTGCCCCAGCCTACTCCCCCAGGCCCCATTCTTTCCTGTTCTGTCTCCTCTTCCTCTTCCTCACCCTGCTGCCCATCCTCTCTGCCCTCACCACTTTCTTGGCCCCTTCCGGGTTCCCTGTCCTCATTTCTCTTCCTCCCTCGGTTTCCTCTCTTCCATTCACTCTCCCTCTGTGTCCTTCTATCCCTTTCCATATGTTCTTCCCTGTACCCTCTCCCTTTTTTCCTCCGTGTTCCCCCTCTCTCTCCGTGTCTCCTGACTCTCCCTGACCCCCATCTTTCCCTCTTCCTCCCTTCCCATCCTTTCTCCCTCATTTCTCTGTATCCCTTCCCCCTTCCCACCTCCCGTCCTCTCTTCTTGTCTCCTGCTCTCCCCATTTCTCCTTTCCCTATCCCTCTCTCCCTGTCCCCATTTCTCCCCGTATCTTCTCCCTACCTCTTTCTCCCCTCCTGGGTCTCTCTCTCTTCTTCCTATGCCTATTTTTCTCCCTTTCCCCCTCCCTCTGTCTCTCTTTCCCTCCCTATCCCACCTCCTCCCTCCCTCTTCTTCCAGTATTTACCCCCACTCCATCCCCTCTCCTCATTCCCTGTCTCTGTTCCCAAGGGCTGTGACTGTGCTATTAATATTGCTTACGAGGCCCTGAAGGTCGTCCGGGCCCCTGGCCCTGTGCCCTGGACACCCCCTCCCCACACAGGCCTCCTGTCCTGGAGAGTATCCAAACGCTCTCTCCCCTTCCTCACTCTCCTCATTCCCGGGGTCTGGGGGATGGAAAGGTGGGAAATATGTGTTTTGATGGGGGTGGGGGGGAGAACAGCAGGACAGGACTGTCTGCGGCACCAGGCACCATCGCTAACTGCCGCTAACTGCGGTGAAGGGCCCCGTGGAGGATCAAAGTGTTGGAGGGGAGAAGGCAGGAATGAATGAGTGACTGCCCCGTCCACCACCAACTCCCCCCTCCCCGTTCCCCTCCTTCCTCTGCAGAGCCGTGGTCCGGGTTCTACATGGGGAAATGGGACGGGGGTGGGGGGTGGGGTTGATGGGACAGCATAGGAGGGGGGTGCGGGTGATCACCTCCTAGAGTGAAGGAGGCCAGGGAGGGGAGCTAGTCCCAGAGCACTGGGGCTCCAAGGTCCCTAAGAACTCCCCTGTTTGTGAAATTGGATGGAGATTGGGGACTGGGTCAGAAACTTGGGTCTCAAAAGGGGTGGGGGTGGGCACGAGGTGGATGCCTGGGAACCTGAGGTGTCAAAGGCTGGGATACACATCCCTGGGTCTCAGAGGGTACAGGGTCCCTGCTTTCATCTGTTCAGCTAAAATGAGATGAGGAGTAGGGCTGGGTGCCTGGTTCCTAAGGGGCGCCTTATTCCCTCCTATTTATTGCATGGAATTGAACTATAGAGTTGGATTCATGGGTTCCTGAGTTGGTGAGGACAGGGGATACCTGATACCATGGGGAAAAGCACCCCACCTTCAGCTGTGTGGCTAGAACAGGATGGGGAGGGAATGGCAGGAAGAGAAACCAAGGGAGAAGGGGGAAGGGAATGATTTGGAAGGGGGGGGGTTGATGTTAACCCCACGGAGGCCAGGCCACAGCTGTGGGTTATTTTGGGGTGGAGGCTGGGGGGTGCTATTCTGAGCACTAATCAAGCCAACAGCTAATGACTGCCAGAGAGGAGGAGGAGCTCCTTTGAGCCCCTGGCCCCCGTGCCAGGAAAAGGGGGGGCCCTGGCACCCTGGGCAGAAGGCAGGGCCTCCCCTCTCTCTATCCCTCCCCCAGCTGTCAAGCCTGCTGCCATGGCAACCCATGGGGATACTGACAGCCAGCATGGATTGACAGCCTTCCCTGGCTCAGGGTTCCCCTCAGGGAAGCAGGTGTCCATGCCCCAGCCCTTTTCCCCCCAGGGATCCAGGCGTCTGGAACCCCAACCCCTGCCCTTTTGGGGACCCAGGTACGTGGGCCCCAACCCCCACTTACTTAGGGACCCAGGTATCCAGATTCCAGCTAGTTCCCTTCTCGGACCCAGGCACCTGGTTCCCCAGGCCTCCCAAGGACCCTGAGTCCAGCCAGCAGGGGCAGGAAGAGGACTCTGTGTTCCCTCCAACTTGCTAAATTGCTCTGGGCTAGCAGCCAGTATCCCCCCACTCCTCAACTCCCAATTACCACAGCTGCACCCCACCCCAGGCCCCCCCCCCCGCCTTCAGGCCTGGGGCAGCTGTGACCAGTGTGGGGTGGAGCCTAGGGCAGGGACAGAGGGGGCAGAGAGGAGAATGAGGTGGGGGGGGCATAAATGGGTTGGAGACGGAGATGGGAAGGGACGAGGTGGCGGGGGGGGGGGCGCATGAGTGGGGAAGAGGATGAGGATGGGAGGGGGCCGGGGTGGGGCAACGGCAAGGTGACAGGGAAGGAGATGGAGGGAGAGGGAGAGAGGAGCTGGGAAGCAGGCCTAAGGGAGGGTAGCAGGCAGAGACAAGGAAGTGGGGGTCAGTCCCACTGACCCTCTCTTCTTTTTTGTCTACCCTTCCTCCTCTCTTCTTCCCTCCTCTCTCGAATTTTTCTTTCTCTCGTTTGCTCTCCATCCGGCCCTACCTCCCCGGGGGATGGGGGTGGGGGGATGTCTTTCTGCTTGTCTCTCTGTGTTTTTCTCCATGTCTCTGTCTCTCTCTTGGCATTTCCCTCCCTCTTGTTTCTTCCTTTTTTCTATCTCTGTCAATCTCCCCTGGCTCTATATTTCCCCCTACCTTTTACCCTATGTTTCTCTAACCTACCCATGTGGTTGCTTCTTTCCCTGTCCCTGCCCCTCTGTCCCTGCCTGTTCTCCTGCCTTGTCCCTGGGTCTCTGACTTTCTCTGTCCCTTTGTCCTTCTGCCCTGCCCTTGTATGCCCGTCCTGGCCCTGGGTTCCTTTCCCTTTCTCTGCCCTCGTTTCTCTCCCCCTCTGCCTTGCTTGTTTTCACCCCTGGGTCTCTGCCTCCCCGTCTCTGTCCACGTCCCTCGCACTCTGCCCAATCTTTGGTCGCGTCTCCACCTCTGTCCCTGATTTTGTCTGTTTCTCTGATGGTCCAATCCGTGTCTGCCACTGTCTCTGTTCCTGCTCTCTCTCTCTCTCTCTCTCTGTCTCCCTCTGTCTCTCTCCCTCTTTCTGTCTCTCTGTCTCTCTCTCCTTCTCCCTCTCTCCCTTCCTCCTCTCTCTCTGTCTCTCTCCCTCCTCTCTCTTTCTCTCTCTTTGTCTCTGTCTCTTTCCTTCTCCCTCTATCCCTCCCTCTCCTTCCCTCCTCTCTCTCTCTGTGTCTCTCTCTCCTTCTCCCTCTCTCCCTCCCTCTCCTTCCCTCCTCTCTCTCTTTCTCTCTCTGTCTCTGTCTCTCTCTTTCTCCTTCTCTCACTCCCTCTCCTTCCTTTCTCTCCCCCGCCTCTCTCTCCCTTGGGGCCATTAGAGGCTGCCCGGCAGGGTCCCCAGGAAATGCGCGGCCCCCTCGGCCCCCACGGCCTTCCAGGCCCAGCTAACATGCTTTTGCTACTGGCTCTGGCATGTGCCAGCCCCTTCCCCGAGGTGGCTCCCCCGCTGGGCGGTGGCAGCATCGGGGAGCCGGGAGCTGGGCGGCCCCTCAATGTGGCGCTGGTGTTCTCGGGGCCGGCCTACGCGGGGGAGGCAGCCCGCCTGGGCCCCACTGTGGCTGCCGCAGTCCGCAGTCCAGGCCTGGAGGTGCGCCCTGTAGCCTTGGTCCTCAATGGCACTGACCCGCGCAGCCTCATGCTTCAGCTGTGTGACCTGCTCTCCGGCCTTCGTGTCCATGGCGTCGTCTTTGAGGATGATTCCCGCGCGCCAGCAGTCGCCCCCATCCTGGACTTCCTTTCTGCTCAGACTGCCCTGCCCATTGTGGCCGTTCATGGCGGCGCAGCTCTCGTCCTCACGCCCAAGGTGACCGGCCAGCTTGGGTGGTGGGGCAGTGAGCAAGGCCCAGAGTGCTCCAGGCCTGGGCTGCAGCATTAGAGGAAGATCCCTGCTAAATGCCCGGTGTGACTGGGGCCTGGGGGGCCTGAGGCCCATATCTGGGAAGGGCTCGCCTTGCCCACCGGCACTGGAAGGTTCCTCGGGGCCCAGGAGTGGAAATGGCGGGTTCTCCCCTTGACCCCATTCCCTCATACCAAGGTTGGCCTTTGCAAGGTCCTTATGGGAACATGCTCAGATAGGACAGTCAGGGAGGGTGGGAAGCATTGTGGGTCATGACTGAGGAATCTGCGGGAGAGCGTCTAGGGACGAGAGGCCCAAGTGGGGGAACTGAGGAACGAAATGGAGGCCACCTATGATGGGGTAAGGGCCGGGGCTTTCAGAAGTCCTGAGAGAAAATGGGGGTTGAGATGGGCAGAGCTGGGGAGGGTGCCAGCCCTGGTGCCTTCTCCTCGGCACGTGGTCCCACCCTCCCTCCACCCGCCACTACCTTCTAGGGGCCTGTGCTCAGTGGCATAGTTGTAGCACCTTCTCTGCCCTCTGTGAGCTGCTGGGACACGTGGCCTTCTCGTCTCTGGCCAACGGCCCAATCGAAGCCACTGTGCGCTTCCCCTTATCCCCCCACCCCTGGGAGGCTGGGATCTGTAGTCTGGGCAAGTGTATTGACCCCTCGCTGCCTCGTGGCCGGCTGGAACCTGTAATCCGCTCTCGAGCCTGGTGGCCTGTTAGGAGCTATGTGGTCTCTGGCCAAGCGGACGTCAGGGCATCATATTTGGAGCCCCTGGCTTGATGGTATGACCCCAGAGAAGTCTGTTGCCCACCCTGGGCTTCATTCTCCCATCTGTGAATGAGAGAGTTGACTTAGAGGATCTCCCAGGGCTATCAGACTTGAATTCTAGACTTTCCATGTGACCCTGTGTGTGCACACACGTACCCACACTCACACTCACCCCCTCGTACTCACACACACACCCACACACGTGCCCTCCATGCCTCAGTTTCTGGATCTGTATGATAAGAAGGGGGCCCTGAATGATGTCTCCGCCATTGCCACCTCTCACTTTCTGCTCCTGTGTTCCTTTCCCCCGTGCTCCCCAGGAGAAGGGCTCTACCTTCCTCCAGCTAGGTTCCTCCACAGAGCAGCAGCTGCAGGTGATCTTTGAGGTGCTGGAGGAATATGACTGGACGTCCTTCGTGGCGGTGACCACGGCGGCCCCTGGCCACCGGGCCTTCCTGGCTTATATCGAAGCACTGACTGATGGAAGCCTGGTGGGCTGGGAGCACCGGGGGGCTCTGACCCTGGACCCTGGGGCTGGTGAGGAGGTGCTCGCTGCCCGCCTACGCAGTCTCAGTGCCCAGATACGCCTGCTTTTCTGTGCCCGTGAGGAGGCGGAGCCACTGTTTCGGGCAGCAGCCGCAGCCAGCCTAACAGGCCCTGGCTATGTGTGGTTCATGGTGGGACCCCAGCTGGCAGGGGGTGGCGGAGGGGGCGGGCCCGGGGAGCCACCTCTCCTGCCAGGGGGTGCCCCGCTACCCGCGGGGCTCTTTGCGGTCCGGTCAGCTGGCTGGCGGGACGACCTGGCAAAGAGAGTGGCGGCAGGCGTGGCGGTGGTAGCCCGGGGAGCCCAGGCCCTGCTTCGTGACTACGGGTTCCTGCCTGAGCTGGGTCAGGACTGTAGAGCTCAGAATCGTAGCCAGCGGGGAGAGAGCCTGCACCGGTAAGGATCCCGGCTGGGGACCAGGGGACTGACCACTGGGATTAAAAGCCACTGGACAGCAGTACGGCCGCTGGGGGGCAGGAGCCAGGCTAGGTGTCAGGGGCCGGATGGGGAAGCTTTTGGGAAGGGGATGGCCAGATTGAGAGGCAGGAGCCAAGGTGACCCTGGGAGAGTGGCCTGACTGAGTGAGCCGGGAAGGCAGGGACAAACGAATGAATGAATGAATAGAGAAGCGTTGATTAAGCGCCTTCGCTGTGCCACACTGTGTGTGCCAAGGGCTGGGGGGCCCAGCACAGGAAGTAGGACAGTCCCAGTTCTCAAGGAGCCTGTGCTCTTGGCAGAGGTGGAGGGCAGAGGGCAAGGCCTGGAGTCCTCCGGTCGGTAGGTCAGTGGGCCCTCCGTTCCCTGGGGTCTAGAAGGCATAGAGCCAGGCAGAGGCAAGGCCTCATGGTCCTTCTCACAGAAGGGCTTCTGGTCAGTGACGCCCATCTCCTCCCAGCTGTGTCTCAAGGACCCAGGGCTCTGCACTGAAACTTTCGTCCCTCTGACCACGGCAGGTATTTCATGAATATCACCTGGGACAATCGGGATTATTCCTTCAACGAAGATGGCTTCCTGGTGAATCCCTCCCTTGTCGTCATCTCTCTCACTAAGGATCGGACGTGGGAGGTGGTGAGTATGAGGGCCTGGATGCCCGGGTCTCTGAGGGGCGGGCCCACGGAGGAAGCCAGATGCCAACTCTCCTCCTCATTCCTGACGCCAGGTGGGGACCTGGGAACAGCAGTCGCTTCGGCTGAAGTACCCGCTGTGGTCTCGCTACGGCCGCTTCCTGCAGCCTGTGGACGACACCCAGCACCTCATGGTGGCCACCCTGGAGGAGCGCCCCTTCGTCATCGTGGAGCCAGCTGACCCCCTCAGCGGCACCTGCATCCGGGACTCTGTGCCCTGCCGTAGCCAGCTCAACCTCACACACAGGTGGGACCCTCGCCCTCCCAGGACCCTATTCCCTCGGCGGCCCCTCCTTGGGACCCCGGCATTCGGGTCCAGATGCATCCAATATTTGTAGCTCGTGGGGCGATGGCAGATGCAGAGGTAGAGACATTTTCATTACTCGCTAAGATCCTCCAAATAAAATCCACTCATTCTTTGGGCCATGAGGGCTTGGCTGCAGGTGGGCAGCAGGGAAGACAGAAAAAGCTGTTGGCATACATGGTTCAGGGATAGAGAGAGAGAGCTCATTTACTATGTACGTATGACAGCTCAGTGTGGGGGATGCCGAGATAGAAGGACTGCCATAGAATGGGGGAGTGGGACAGGCTGTCCCTTGTGTGGAAATCATCAGACACGAGGAGACTGTGACCAGACCGTCTTCAGCTTGGGGGATCCCCCGGGAAGGCTTTCTGGTTGTGAAAGAAAGGCAGGTGCAGAGGCAGGCCTGAGGAGGAAATGTGTGCCAGGGCTGGGGCTCCTCTGCCTGTATTTAGAGAGGGAAGAAAAGGCGGGGAGAGGCCGTAGTCCATCTCTCTGGAATGGAGAGTCCACCAAGGGCAATATTAGGACAGATAAAGTTGCAGAAGGCCCTGAATGCCAGGCCAAGAATCTCAAAGGCAGTGAGTAGAACTCTGCACCTGGAGCCGATAGACCCAGGCTCTGACTCTGCTTTAGAACCTCACTAGAGCTGCAATGATGAGCAAATTGCTAAAACTCCAAGAATCTCAGTTTCCTTTTTTAAAGTAGGAATAAGTGATAATAAAAATGGCCCCGGCCCCAGGTCTGTTGTGAGAAAGCACTTGGTGGACCTGACAGCGGCAGAGACAGGGGGGCAGTTGTGATGCCTCGGTCCATGGGGTGAGCTCTTGGCCACGGGCACGCCATGGCCTTCGTGGGTTGGGCTTCAGAGAGAAGGCTCAGGGAGTGTGCTCAGGGTACGAAGCTGGGGCAGCTGCTGTAATAGTTCAGGTGAGAGGGAGGTGAGTGGAGACGAGGCAGTGATGGATGGTAGAAAGAGAGCTGTGGAGACAGGAGGCCAGGCCTGGGTGGAGGGACGATGGATGGGCTGTCCATAGCAAGAGGGAATCTGGGAGGATGCTCACATGAGCGGGGACAGTCTGAGGTCAGTTTGAGAGGGTGATGGCACGTCCACATGGAGAGGCGTGACTTGGCATTCGGGAGAGAGGCTGGAGCTTGATACCTGGTGATCATCTGGGTGAAGATGTTCATTGAACTTGTGGCAGCAGATAACGTTGCCCACAGAGAATACTGAAAGGGAGAAGACAGTGATTGTTAGGAAGGAGAAGAAGAAGAAGAAGAAGAAGAAAACAGTAATGAAAACCACCGCTCAAAGTTTCCTCTGACGCCTGACGATAGCATGGAGATGATGTTGGTTCCCAGAGGCCATGCCCGTGAAGCCCAGGCCCAGGTACCTTCTTCAAGGCTATAGAAGCTGTGAATACCGTTCTAGAAACAGATGTGCCTGCTTGCCAAGGTCCCACCTAGCAAAGTGTTCTGCGACTCTTCATTGATAATAGCCTGGTCACTTGGTGTTGAATGTTTGATCAAAGCAAACCAAGCCAAATGCCAACTGATGCCCAGTCCTGGGTGGTGCAGAGAGCACCAGGAACCCCAGTTTTGAGATGATCCAGAAATACCGACCTTGTCATTGGTACTCTCGGTGGGAGCTCCCTGTCCGGTGACCTGGGGGACACCCAACTGGAGGAAATGCATCTTATCAATTATGACCTCAGTGTCAATGAAGGGAAGCCAAGAGGCCAAAGGAAGAAACAGCACAATGGTAGGAAGCCTCGCTACTCCTCCCTGGAGAGGCAGAAGCCCGAACTGGCAGAGTTGGGTTTGTCACGCAGCAGAAGACAATGGTTTTATGGAGAGATAGCAATGGACTCTCTTATTCAAGCAGCACAATAGATATTTGCCATTAAACATAATGGCGGTCTATGTGTCAATGTCAGTCGCAGAGCTGGACACATTCTATGAAGAACGCAATGAGATCCTCCAAATAAATGCAGTGTGTTCTTTGGGGCTCAGTGACTCAGATGCAAGGGTAGGAAGATGGTAGAAAGTCTGTAGGAGGGGAAGGAGAGTGGCCGAAGCCTCGCTGGTGGTCATAGGAGCCTCAAACTATCAGACCCTTTCTTTGAGAAAAGACCCAGTAGGTATTGGCCGTAGTAGGCATGAAATAAATTCACCAGAAAGGTGATGGGCTATATCTTAGCAGGTAAGGGGTGCGAGCGCCAATCAGGACCGAGCATTTATTAGTGCCAAGTGCTAAGCCAGAAAGTGGTGTCACTGATGTGAAAATGCAGTACTTCCCGGCCACCGGAAACTAACATTCTCCTGTAAGCATACAATTTTTGCAGATAAGTAAATATGGGATATATGCAGAATAAATAGAAGTAATGAAGGTAAGCCCTGACATCTGGAGGCATGAGAAAGGAGGTGTCACTTGAGGACAGCCTTGAAGGGAACCAAAGGAAAAAATGAGAAAGGCCTTGAAACTGGGAAACGGATGGAAGAATGAACATCTACAGAGATCACAATGATCTCATAAAGGCCTAGTGTGAATCAGTTACCAAGAGCCAAGAAACCATCTGAGCCCCACCCCAAGGAATGAGATGGTGAAGCCAGGGCCAACCCTAGTTTGGAATAGAAATGTCTTTTTCAAGTTTTATGGGAGAAGATGGTAGGAGGTGATGAGCAGTCTACGGGCATGCTCAGCTACCTCTGCCGCTCAGTGCCCCAGAGGTTCATGGGCCTCTCTCCCTCCCTCTGCTGCCTTTGGTTCAGGCCCCAACCAGTTACGGGCCCATGCGCCAGTGATCAGCCTCTGCTTCTGCTTAGCCCCTTCCCAGGCATCTGATTTTACCAAGTTCTAGTCACTTCAGAGCCATATCAAGAACAGATGTACTTACACTTCCTCCCCAACACCCTGGGGGTGTAGGGATCATCCCCTCCCTACTTACAGGACTGCAGTGTCTGGGACAGGGTAAGCTCAAGACCACTCAGTTCCCCCATAGCATCGGTGCCCCCGAGTGCCCATCCAAAGGTAACACGGCTGCTGGCTGGGTTCTGGGCTCATTACTTACCGTCCTAATCCCCTCGATTCCCTCCCCAAGAAAGAGACTCCTCACTCCTCAGGGCCTCAAAGCTGTCCGAGAGCCCTCTGGACCTCTAGAACCCCACAAAGTGGTGGAGAATTCACTCCCTTCACCTAGCAAGGCTCATGGCTTCAGAGGGGAGAAGGACCCTCCCCGTGTGGTTTTCACCGGGTGCCTTGATTCAAAATGTTGCCAAGATCCTCCAAAAGTGCTTGGATGAAGGGAAATGATGGTAGGCACAACAAAAGTCTATTAACCACTTCTGAAGCCCCCATTTACCATGTGGTTAGCCAACCAGCACCAGCTGCAGGACGTCTGTCTCTCCAAGGAAGCCCTTCCCGTCACATCAGTGTGCCCCCCCCCCCCCCCGGGGGGGCGCCCCCCCCCCCCCCCCCCCCCCTCCCGCCCCCCCCGGGGCCCCCCCCCCCCCCCCGGGGGCGAGCTGCTACCTTCTCCACCTATAGAGATGCTGCTTCAGGTGCTGCTACCCCTCCTCCAGCCAACAGCCCCGCCCCACACTGTTAGAGCAGTATCACTTCACTAAAGGGGAAAGGCTTTTTCACCACCATGGAGAACGGAGCCACCCCATTTGGGCTTCACCGTCGCCATCGCGCAGGATGTGGGCTCAGCACCAGAGACAACCATGACGGAAAAGCAGCTGGAGCAGCCAGGCGTGCACATGCAGACCCACAGGGCACGGCCTCCATGCTGTGAGGCAGCCTTATGGGCCAGAGTGTTCCCTTCTCAAGCTCCAACGAGCCAAGTTCTCACGGTGTGGAAGAAGCCGGGGGCCTTATTACTGACCAAGACAACGGTGAATAGCCGCTGACCCATTGGCCTGCAGTCCTTGATCACCACGGAATTTTTATGAGAACAATCTGAGGGCATTTTCGGTGAAAGTGTGACGAGGGAATGTCCAGGCTTTCACAGATGCTTTTCTACAGCAGGTTCCGGATTAAGAAAAAGAAAGAAAGAACAAAAGAAAGAACGAAAGAAAGAAAAAAAGAAGTCATGTATTGATAGTTTCTTCTTTTGCAATCACTTTATTTCCAAATCTGTTTCTCCCCTTTGGGAAGCCTACAGGAGGGAAATCAAGGCAGTCTCCGATGGAATCGAGGAGCTTTTCCAAACAGCCCAAGGGGAGAGTAAAGGGTGGCTTCTTACAACACCTGGAGGAGGCTCAGCCTTGCCCTTGCAGACTTAAAGACCAAGTGAGCGCCCCTCTGAGATGGAGAGCTGAAGGAAGGCTTTTGGAGGAGTTACCCCTGCAGGAAGGACTGAACTCTCGGGAGCTCTTGGACAAGGCATCGAGGGGAGGGGATCTATCTCCCCCATCCCCACCAGCGATGGCACTTTGCAGCTGCCTGATGGGGGCATTCAAGGACATTGCTTCTTAAACCCTAGGCTTCTGTCAATTGGTCAATCCACCAATAAACATTAAGGGCCTACTCTGTGCCAGGCATGGGGGATACAAAGAGAGGCAAAAGACAGTCCCTGCCCTCAGGGAGCTTATAGTCTAACATGCAAACAGACATATACAAGCAATTCCTTAGACAGCATGATCCCAGAATCTAGCCTTCCAGCAAAGAAGGGAGATTTCTGGTGTAGCGCCGGCTTTGAGAGTTGCCTCATGGTCAACTCCAAGTTCAAGAAATACAGTTTTGAGAGTTTCAAGCTCTGGATCCTGTAGGTAGAGATTTCCTGATGCTTCCTGCTCCACAGAGAGGGAAGGAGACAGTGCAACACAGCATCCTTCCTGAAAGGAAAATCCCCCAAGGATTCCGGCTGAGCCAGACGCTGGAGGCAAAGGAGACGGCCGACGAGCAGTGTCTGGTGGAGACTAATATGGGGACATTAGCGGCCCTAAGGCATCCATCCGAGGCGTGAGTTGCCCCCTCCTGACACACATGCTCCCTGGCCACACGTACATGACACGTGGGTGCCTCTCGTGGCCTCTGTGCGCGTCCAGTTCCCCCACTAATGCCAGGTGAGAGAGGGCTTCCTAGGGGAGATGTTTTATTGCTTCTTTCTCATTATGTAATTTCAGTAATTCCCTTTGTTTTGAGCTCATTGTATTCTCTGGCTGTCTTTTGAAGGCAAACACATTGGTGGGGGCTCATGAGCTGTAGTTTTAAGAGTGCAGACCAGCTTCTTTGAAGCTGGGATAGCCATTCCTCCAGAGGTCCCAACCTGTGAGTTCGAGTTGGGGGGGCTCTCCCTCAGGGTACTACACTTGTGGAACTTCATCCGGCATCTCTTATCTTGGATGCCCTTGTATTTTAGGGATCCCCTGGGGAAAATAGTGTTTCAGTGGTGACATCTGTTGTATTGCTGTGTCTACCACAAGTAAGGAAGGTGACCTGAGTCGCACGCGTGTTACATAGCGAGAATACTGGCGCACTGGCAATGCACCGAGGGCCACACGAAGGACCTCTTATCAAAGGAGTCAATGACTTCACCAGTATGCTATGGGAGGATTTTTGTGACATGGCCCCGGACGGCTTCTGCATGATGTTAAGGACTCTAAGTCCAGAGGATAAAGTTTGTCCCATGGCAAACCAACACCATGTGCATAACGCCTGTTTGGCAGCCCCCACATCTGTGGGGTTTTCTGAGTTTCTGTGATATGATTTTGTTTTTTTCAGCTAAAGATAGGGTTTATTAAAGATCCGCCGTGTTAGCCAGCCTCTTAAGGAATCTGGACATTTGGGGTTTTTTTGTTTGTTTGTTTTTTAGGCAATTGGGGTTAAGTGACTTGCCCAGGGTCACACAGCTAGTAAGTGTCAAGTGTTTGGTCTGAGGTCAGATTTGAACTCAGGTCCTCCTGACTTCAGGGCCAGTGATCTATCCACTGCGCCACCTACCTGCCCTTGAGTCTGAATGTTTGTGAGCTATTGGCTAGGTTCCTAAGGTATCTGAGCACTTTGTGATATGGTTTTAAGGTAGCCGGCCTGTGCTAGTGTGGGCTAAGTTCAGATCTCGATTTGGAATGTTGGGTGGCTTTGCAGAGACCCAGTGGAGACACACATGAGCTGTGGTTGTGTAGACAGGACATTTGAGGAATGTTCCCTGGTTTGGTTTCTCATCTGAATGTGAGATTCCAGTTGACTCTAACTCACCAACCTCCCGTGCTTTGGAAACTCATTTAGCACCAGACTCTGAGAAGGGAAGGTCATTTTTGGTCCTTTTGATTTGACTTTGCTATCTTTGATTTTTTCTTCCCCTTTCTAATTGCCATTGGGTTGAAAAGGGCCTCTGTAAGTACTGGAATAGGTGGTAAATGAGGATTTCCTAAGAGCTTATTTCTTGGGATGGCAGAATTGTGTATTTGAGAGTAAGCACAATCTTGAGGCCCAACCTCCGGCAGGTCTGGACCCTCCCAAGATGGTCAGTCACTGGATTGTCCTAGAAGGCCGAGCGGACTTTGCTGAAGCTTTAGAGTGAGGACAACGTTTAAGCCTCCCCAAGCCCTCGGAGAACCGTTCAGCCTGGGGATGGCCCCACATGGGCCGGTGGTGCTGCCCTCTACTGCCTGGGAACAGAGGCGACTGTTGAGTTGGGTGGGGATAACCGAGGAGGACATGGGCAGTCTCAGATCCATTCAGGGAATCTTCCCGAACCACCTTAGGAACAGATCACGGACTGCCTGTTGTGTTATCAGATGTCGGCCCTCACACGAAGCTGACCATTGGCCGAGGCAGGATAGGCCACACCCCCAGCGCCATTCAGAAAGCCATCTGGGCCCACTCTGGGAGGGTCAGTTCAGTTCTTGATGACTCACGCCTCAGTCTTTCCTTTGGACCTCTTGGAGAGTACGTGGAGGGTGGGGCTGGGGAGTGGATGATTCTCCTCCCACACGTTGGCGATGGGGCCCTGGAGCAGAAACATGTGACTGCAGGAGATGCGAGAAGGAAATTCTAGGCGATCGATGGCTTATCGAGGTCTCTCAATTCCCTGGGCAGTAGGATCCCAGACTCTAGGCCCCAAGCTGTGGAAGAGATTTCTGGAGCGGCTACCAGCTTGGAGAGCTATCTCATGACTAACTCCTAAGGTCCAGAATTCCAGGTCCTGGAGATTCTGGATTCTAGAGCCAAGAGAATGATGATTTCCTGTTGCTTCCTCCTCCCTGAAAAAGGAGACGGGTAATTCATACAGTCCCTATAGAGCATCCTAGCTGGAGCATCCCGCCCCAAAGAATCTGGCTGGGCAGAAAGCTGGAGCAGTGAAGGCTCCAGCCAAGCAGTGTCCAGCAGTGACCACCGCCAACCCCTCCTCACACACATTTCCTGTCTGGGTGCCTGCCTCTCTACTTGGGACCTTTATGGAGAACCAGCCTCCGCATGGATGCTGGCTAGATTTGGGGGAGTGTGCCCCAGGTTCATAAGGGTGACTTTTTTTTCTTCCTATGCCACTGTGGTAATTGCCTTTGCTTTAAGCTAATTGTGTTCCCAGGCTGACCATTAAAATCAAACACATTGGTGGGGACTTTTACATGGTAGTTTTTGGAATGCCTTAAAACCGGGGATAGCTGTCCCTCCCAGGGACCTGACTTGCAGTTGTGAGTAGGGGGAGAAGGGGCCCTCAGTGCACTGCACTTGAAATGGGTATCTTTAAAAGACGGGGAAAAAAGGCAATTCAGAAAAACTAAGCACCGTGTCAACCAAGTCTGACAGCAGCAATGCTGGCCCCCCACTCCTTCAGAGAAGGGCGGGAGCTGCATCTTCTCATCTCTTCTTTAGGGACGTGCTTGGAGACGATCACACCTTTACAAAACCACCCACTGACTGAAAGGCATAGGGAAAAAAACCCTGCGTTTATTGTTTGTTGGACATTTTTAAAAAGCATTTAATTTAGTAGGGCAGAATACGGCCTGCGTTCAAAGCAGCCCACCAACGAAGTGACTGCCCGTGCCTATGTCAAAATCATATGAGATTCCTTGAAAGGTGTCACCACCAAGGAGTCATTCTCTGATAACCCTCTGGCTAGGAATATCAAGCAAGGAATAAAAAAAGAGCCGTATGCTCACCAAAGGCATCTGCCACGGGAACGAAGGAGTCCATATGGGTTTCCCTATAGATGGTGAGGTCTGTCGTGGACTCATCGGTCAGTGACATCGTGCCGACTGCATCCAGTCCTAGAACAGAGCCTTCCAAGTGAGATCCAGAATCAACAGAGTTCACACAGGGAAGTTAACTATTCACACAGGAAAAACTAAGTGGATGAAGAAAGCCTGTCACCCATCAATACTAGGGTACACAGTTTGACAGACGGCTCAGAGGAGGGGTCCAGCCATGAGAACGCCCTCAAAGATAAAAGTTCCAGAATGGAATGGAGAAAGGGCAGGCTGGCCGGCCTTGGGGAAAGTGTTCCTTTCTTGTCACTGATGCCAGGCACGTGCCCCTCTGACACTTTTGATCTTCTGGTGGGGAGGTGGAACTGCAAGTCCAAGAACACTGAGGCTTCCGAAAAATTAAAAAGGCAGCAGAGAGATGCATGATGGGCGGGAGTCGGCTGGGACACATCACGATCATTAAGACTGCGCTGTAGGTGCCGTGTGATGTACGCATTGGAGAAATCTGTGGCCAGAAAAAAAGATGGGCCGGTCACCGGACGAGATCAAGGGGGAGGCCAGGGACGGGCCACGTGGTATCCCCTCTGTGTCAAGGAAGTGAGAAAAGAGGGGGCCCCCAGCGCCCCGTGTGAGCCTTCTCTGGCCGATGTTGAGGAGGGTGTGGAGGACAGTCACACCGAGGGACAGGTCGGAGTACGTGCCAACCTGCATCTCGGAGGAGGTGCCCGTGTCGATGAGATCAAAGATTTACTGGACCATTTTTCCTGCCTTACTTACCTTCTCTGGTTCTCACATCAGTCCTGGGAGTTTGGTACTGCAGGTGTTAGCAACCCCTTTAAGGCCAAATGATTCTCTGGTGGTCCCCTAGTGTGGATGGCGGGCTTCTGGTGCCCACTCCCCAGGCAGGTGGGAGGGGATGAAACTGCTGGGAATACGTAAGGAGGGGTCAGAGACGTAACAAGAGGCACGCGGGGTTGTGTCAGGTACCACATGCAGAGAGAAGAGCAGAGGCTGGAGGGTGGGAGCTTGGGGAGACCCCCACTGAGGCTCAGGAGCCAGGAAAAGGCAGGCTGGTGCCACCATTTACTCCCTGAGGAATTTTCCTGGCTCCCCTCTCACTGCAAAGCTCTGCTGTCGGGGAGGGGATTGGCTCATTCCAATTTTCCAGGGGCCAAGGGTGGCCAAGGCTGAGCACCCGTCTGGGTTGGTGGGCAGAGCACTGTTGGGGTGAGTGGTGGAGCTCTGGTGAGCACCTAGGGCCAGAGGATGGGGTGAGGCCCCAGGGGATTCATCGCTGCTGCCGTCACCCTCCTCCCCTGGTCCGTAATGGAAGGAATAGTCTGTTCACTTGAGCCCCAGGAGGCCAGAACTAGAAGCAATGGGTGGCAACACGAGAAAAAGAAAAACTTGCTAACAATTCCTCCTGTGTAGATGGGGACTAGGCCCCTCGTCCCACCACGCGGGGCCCTGTGTAGAGAGGATGGCTAGGCCTTTGAGGCGCATCTCTGGGGGTGCTCCTCTGGGGCAGCGGGTGGACTCCCCACCTTACGAGACGGGGAGGAGATCAGAGTCAGTCGGGGGAACTCCTGGGAGTCCTACGTCCGGGGAGCTCACAGGCCCTAAGGACAGCACCCCCAGGAGCACGGGGCCACCCCACAGGTAGGAGAACCCAAGGAGAGCTGGGGTGCTCCCACAGGGCCCGAGACTACAGAGAGGGCAAGGAAGATCGAGGCTCCAGCCCCATGCCTGCCCCTTCTTCCCCCAGCCCCCCGCCAGATGCCCCCCGGCCAGAAAAACGCTGCTGTAAAGGCTTCTGTATCGACATCCTCAAGCGCCTGGCCCAGACCATCGGCTTCAGCTACGACCTCTACCTCGTCACCAACGGCAAACATGGGAAGAAAATCGATGGCGTCTGGAACGGCATGATTGGGGAGGTGGGCCCAGCCTGGAGGGGATAGAGTAGATGGGGGGAGAGGAGGTGGGAGGAGGCTCAGTCCTGTCGAGGGGCAGGGGCCCCCCACGCCCAGCCCCCATCCTCGCCCTGACG